TGTTCAAGAAGTATTCGAGTGAAATATTCCAATTTTCATTGAAATTCGAATATTTGATTCATAATTTTCGGATTATTTGAGAATTCGAATATTCGGAAATACTGGTTTTCGAATAGTTTGAAAGTTTGAATATTCGAAGTTTCGATTTTTGAATTATTCGAATATTCGGATATTCGAAAATTTCAATTTTTATATCATTCGAATCCGGAATTTTCTACTATTCCCAATGTATAGACACATACATACACACATATATGTCCTACCCACACACTACACATATACATGCACACATCACATGTGTACATTCATACATCACGTACACATACACATACACACATGTACATGTACACATATACACACATACACACATTCACACGCGCACATACACACATACACACATACACATATACACATACAAATGCACACGTACACATACACATACACATGCACACGTACGCATACATATACACATGCACACACACACATACACATGCACATACACACATACACACGTACACATACATACACATGCACATACACATACACATGCACACATACACATACATACACATACACATCACATACACATACACATACACACATGCTCACATACACATACACACATATACATATACACATATACACATATACACATATACACACATACACACATACACACATGCGCACATACACCATACGTTCATACACACGTACACACATACACACGCATACACATACACACTTACACATACACACATACACACGTACACACATACACATATACACACATATAAACACATACACATACACACGTACACATACTCGTACACACGTACACATGCACATACACATGCACACATACACATACACGTACATACATACAAATACACACATACACACATACACATACACGTACACACATACACATACACATACACATACGCACATACACATACACATCACATACACATACACACATACACCCATAAACATACACACATACACATACACATGCACATACACATATACACGTACACATACATACACACATCGTCGCGCGGGCGATTCCTCTCTAGGACTTGATTCTTGCCCCTTATGATGTTCAATTTCCAATATGTAATACCGACTAATAGAGAAAGCGTACACGGAGGCGACGCACGACAGCCCATGGGTGTGAAAAG